ATATATATATATATCAATCATAATAATCTAAATAAGAAATGTATAATACCACCATGTAAGGAATGAAAAAAAATTCTTTGAGATTCTATGTCTGAAGTTATCAGGTATAGGAGCATTACTAGATAAAGGGAACAATATTGTCCCACATAAGGTCTGAATGGAGGTACAACATATCTACATACATTTATGTTAGTCCTGGTAGCAGACATCTTGGAGTTTATTTTTTTTTAAATAGCTAACCTATTTTGGATTTTGGGACAAAATAATATAAATAAGTTTTTTTCACATGTAAAATTACTTCACAAATTGAACAATGGACTTTTCTGGAGTGACAAACTTAATTAAACTTAAACAACGTGTCTTTGTTTTACAAACACATGTTGTAGCAACAATATCCAACAGTGGAGAAATGAGGATGTCTATAGCCCCCTCGCGGTGGCAGGACCAGGCACTGGCGGGGGGGGGGGAATTTTCACCCCGTTGTCCTGAGGCCATAATGAGGTCTTCGGATCAAAAATTAAAAAAAAAAAATAATTTGCCTATGTGAAAAGTTATCTTGTGCCAATCCCTATAGCCATAAAAACTGTCTTCGCGACCCCTACCAGGAATTTTTCATTGAGGCTCTAGTCGCTTCCCTGGTTCAAATAATCCCGTGGTTAGAACCTAATAAAATATTAGTAGTGGGACTACTTAGGCTTCAATAGGTAGGCTTACAATTAGTTAGTAATTTTTTAAAGTTTTATAATCTAGCTCTCCTGAGTTGGTAATCCATTTAAAATTATTTTCAAATGACCAATATATTAAATTGGTCATTTAATTCTCTAGAATGTGTGATATCCGTGGGCCTCACCCCGGACCCACCGAGAGCCCTTGGCGGCCCCTGGCCCGCAGCTTAAGTGGGTTATTTCAAGCTAATTCCCCCATAAAAATAGGAATCTCCACCACTGCATATTAGCTTGATGCTACTTAAAAAATAATAATTCACCAAAATTCATTCAATATTTGTAACTTCCTGGGGGATTCGCCCTTGGACTTCCACAGAGCTAAGCATCCCTCTGCCTAAATTCCCGCTTGTGACACTTTTAACACCCCCCACCTGTGGACCTTCAGCCCCTCCAGTCGGGCAGATCCTGGCGCCATCACTGTATCCAAGGTGTGCAGTGAAGTGGGTATTCTTACGCCAGGCACTCACTGCGTCTTTGACAAATCCAGCTGTACCCCGTTAGCACTAGACGATGCGACGCCATCTGCTGTTTGCTGGTAGCAGTCTGAACAGATAGCCATTAAAAACGATGAGTTGTGCGTGTGTCGCACGGTTGCGTTCTCAATAGAATTGCGTTGCTGCTGAAGACCGCCGGATGCTGTGAGTTCCTGGCTTGATTCATAGAGGAACAAATTTACAGAAACTAATAATACACTTATTTGGACACACCACGTGCTGTTACTGATTATTTTAATTCAAACAATATATTTACATCTCATAGAACACAGAATAGCAGGAACAGAGAAACATATATGATATTATTAATATACTGCCCCCTATTATAATATTATGATACATACACATTTTAACAGTTTAGTTTCAGTGTGTAGAACAGGCCAAAAACATTTTTTTTCACTTATTATCTTGCTATTAATGAACACAAAAACCAATGATTTGAGAATTGACAATAGTCAGTGGGTTATCTAGGGGTATGCAGGGATGCATGCTTCCCCCCCCCCCCCAAAAAAAAAATAAGCTTGCTCTCCCAGTTTCTCCCTGAAAATGTTCCTGGCAAATATATTATGCTCTAGTAGTTAAAAATCAACTTATCACCTTATTTTGCAATATAGAACCCCTCGCTTAATCATCGAGCCCAACATTATCATCGCACCCCCATCAGACCCACATGATTTCAGGACTCCTAGATACGCCACTGACAACAACACAAAAGTAGCTACTCGTCTATAATGAACAGCAATAATATTAATAATAAAAATAACAAAAATATAAACAGCAACAACAACAAGAATTTTACTTGCATCACAGAAAAAAATGCATTTACTAACACATTGTTTGACAATGTAATGTTGGACAGGCATCTAGAGAGGACAAGGCTATTTGTGTCAAGATAACAGGTTTAACCGGAATAAAATTTGAGTTTTCTTACAACCACATTCAAACCTTTAATGCAGTAGAAGAATAATTCTTGGTGGCTTTTTCAACAATAATGCAGATAAATGTCAAGTTTTCTTACTGTACTTCCATGCCCTCAGGCCCCTCACCACAATTAATTAAATTGCACATGTTACTATTCCTTCAAGATAAAGAGCGGGGTCATTGTAATCCACCAATCAAGTAGTCATTTAACATCAATCAATCTTTGTTTTGTACAGTTGAAACATTTTTATACCTCCATGGTTGAAGCTAGTCAACTATTCAGAGAGCCAATGACAACCACTTTTTCTGTTGACTTCAGAACATTTAAGAACTTTATTACAATCAACCAATCAATTAATCCATCAATCAATCAATCAAATAATACATAGCCTCTTGTACTACAAAATATCCACTTCACACTCTTAAACAATATTTTTTTTTTCATTTTTTTCTATTAAAATCTGATAATAGTTTGAACACTTCCACTATGCTATATTCAATATATTGCAATTTAATTGTTAGGTGATGTCATCATCTTGTTCCTCTAGGTCAATAATCTCTGAAATCGGTTCTGCCCCTAAAAAAAAACAAACAAACAAAACAAAAATGTATTGTTGAATTATAGGATTGGTCTATTCTACACTGATATCAAATTACCTAAAAAAGAATTTAATGCTGCACTGGGAAAGGTTATGGTTTTAATGACTGAATTGGGCTCTTTATACACACAAGTGTTTTTTTTCTCTCTTCCTTTATTACCTTTATCCTAAGGAAAGGGGAAGTGATGTTTGGCAGCCCTTCCCAACAGACAGGCCTGGACGTCCCAATGATTGGGGTCCCAAGTCACCGGAAGTTGCAGGAGACCCCTGGAAATTAGAGTGGGGCCCCGCACTACTGCAAGCAAGCAAGAATCTCCCTGAAAATAACATCTCCCACATATTCATAATTATTATTACTATTTGCATTGTTTTTACAACTTTATTATCAATTTACGGTCTTATGGCAGCCAGTGCACAGCAAAATAAAATAAAATTATGTTAAGGAAGCTCATTTAACCACATCTCACGGAAGGGATTTCTTCCAACTTTGACCCCTACAATAAGGTTGTTGGACCTTTGACCCCACCAGTTGTGTTTAATAATGCTTTAAGCTCTGTCCACACTATCAAATTTTATGTGACAAATCTCTGTGATGTGCCCATATATTGGCATATGACATCAAAATATTACATCCAAATATGGACATATCACATTTATTTGTCACATAAAATTTGACAGTGTGAACAGGTCTTTAGTAACTTTGAGCTAACATTCATCAGATACATTAGCAGGAATTTATGATTACTACCAATACGTATTTCTGCCACAGGGAAAATTATGTTCACATGGAGTTACGATTAGGATGGTAACTTTGTTATTCAGTAATAAGGGCCGAATTCAAATGGTGCTGGGTAGGGCGGGGAAAAGTAATCATTTTATGTGTGTAGATGCTTGAATCATTCTATCATGAATGGCTTGCAAAGGTGTTTTAGGCTATACTGGAGGACATAAACCATCTGCTCCATGCCGACATTATATATAGCTCCGTTATTAGAAGTGGTAGAATGATGACGGTGAATGTGCACATGGACCCGTTACCAGCTGGGATACGAGATCACAATCTGAAGTAACTAAGATAATTTAACTTTTGTATTGGCAGTCATGAGCATTACATTTCCAAATTTGGAAAATAAAAGAAATCTGTGTCCGTATCTGTACAATTGTACTGCCGTTCAATTTGTTCATGAAGATGAGGCCTAAAATCTGAATGCCTGCATTGAAAATTAGTCAGTAATTAATTAAAATAACAAAATATTTTCAAGTCTCTTAATAATGTGTTAGAATGATAAATTTCAACCATTAGACCAGAACAAAAACACAGTACTTTTTTTATTGTCTCGCACTGTTGTAACAAATAAAGAAGAAAAAGGGATTAAAAGAATATAAAAGAAAACAATTAAGAACACAAGCAAACCAAAATTATCTTTCAAAATAAAATTAAACAAAGGAAAAAAAAATCATAATAAATAAAAGAACATACAAAATTACAATATGATGCATTGTTCTGCCTTGCATGAAAAAGTATTAACTTGCTAATAAAAAAATAAGTATAGCAGAACCCCAAGGGTTCCTATTGGGACCAAACAAAGTGTCCCTTTAATAGGGGTGTATGGTGAATAGGGAAAGCGAGAGTAGTGTTAAAACGTATAAACGTATACTTTCACTTGTTTTACATTTGAAAGTGTCTCCTTAATAGGGGCTGTCTCTATGTACTTTGCATTATTACATTGCATCAACTTTAGAAGACATACAGTACTAATCTCTTAAGGTGAATTTCCACATTGATGTTGAGCCTCAGGTACCTCTTTATAATCACGTATGGAGAGAGAAAACCATAGGTGAAGTGATTTGCCCAGACACAGGCAAAATCCACCTCAAAGAACCAGAATTGCTGTTGGACTGGATTAGATTTTATTTTATGTGAAATTCAGCAAGAATGCCCAAGTCAACTTTTGAAGATTTGTTTCCAGTGGGTCCTCCTGGTGGTGGTGGTTGCACAGTACACCAGGAAACAACCCAATATATTTTTTTATAAAAGTTAGTGCTTTCTTCAAAATACACATGGGCCAAATTGCAAATAGCCCCAACAGCTTATTAAAAGCTACAATCGGAACCGAATAAAAAATGTGAGCGTCCACATTCTTACATACTGATTCGATTTTCTGAGTCTTAGGCTGTCGTGAGAAATATTAAACATGTTTAATATTCTATGACGCTACTGCCCCTGATGCAAACCATCACGTCTGTGGTGTTTAACTCACACAGACCCGACGCGAAAAAAAAGGGGAACCGAGTTGTGTCATACGACACTGTTTGAGTTGGCCTTTAAAAATACAGTTCTCCCTCTAATTATAGACCCATTAAATATAAGAAAGCAGCTAAACTGGTCGTAGCCACTGTGTGGCACTGAACTGTGGAGATCGCTAGGGCCCCCGGTTCAATTCCCATCGCTGCCTCTCCTTGTGCTTCAGCTGGAGGGCTGATATACAAGTTATGATAACCCACCGCACCGTCTTTCCGATGAGACGTTTAAGCCTTTGTTCCTGTGTGCATTTTGGCATGTGTGCACGTTAAAGAACACTGTACACTATTCGGAAAAGAGTAGGGGATTGTCTCTCCAGTGTACTGCTCAATCACCACCAGAAGAACCCCACCGAAAATAAGTCTTCTTTAGACTTTCGTGGGTTATCATTGGTGAACAAATCCAATCCAATCCATTTATATTTTATCTTTTAATAATGTTTAATTAAAGACCAGACCATGAAAACCTAGGTTCTTTTGAACTTTAATTTGAAAAAGACGGGTATGTTAAAAAAAAGGAGGAAATGTAAGCAAGCTATATTTGAGAGACCATAAACACATACAATGTAACTGTATTTTATTCTATGATATAAAAACAAAAATGAGAAGGGATTTTAAAAACAATTTATGTCCTTGATTATACAATTCTTACATTTAACATCACCACACTGGGGATCCTCTGGTAGTTTTGTAATGCTCTTTGGTGGTAGGCTGGTATAAGAGTCTAAATAGTTTTCAAAGACTGTTGGGGGCCTGATCATTGGTTCTTCTGGTCTTTGACCACCTTGTCTTGTATCTGTGATAAGAATGATACAAAACTATATTTAAGTACAACTCAGCCATTCTTTTTTCGCTTGATGAAACCTATGAAAGTTAGGATAATATGAGTTATATAAAATCAGATGTATTTTCTTGATATATATATTTTAAAAAATTATTGAAATTACATTTAAATTAAAATCTGAGGATGCTATTCACGCCATCCAGAGGTACATTAGCCATAAAAAATGCATACCTCGGCTCTCCCCACTGGACCCTCCAGGTCCAGGGTACAAATTGTCTTGTGTGCACTTTAAAGAACTAATTGCATCTTTTGGGAGAGTAGGGTGCATCTAGAAATAACTGAAAGGAGGGGGTGGGGGAATGCCAAAAGGCAGGCTGAAAGTGGGGCCAATTGAGATAACACTACCCTATGGGGCCCAGGGGCATACCCCCGTGAACTTTTTGTGTTCTAGACGCCCAAAAATAGCTCTGAGGCGTTTTGGGCGATCAATTTTTTCTCCTTTTTTTTTTTACCATCCTAAATCCGCCCCTGGGGTGTTATCCTGATGCTATGGTTCAATTCAGCTTCTTTCATGGAATGATGTGAACATGTAACTACCCCCTCTTTAGGGCAGCTAAGTTGTCATGGAAAATGCCCATACGCACTTATGGGTTATTCTCCTACATTTACCGTTACATTTACCTCTTACAAAATAATATAACAATATACCACCTCACTTTATCTTCCTATGACACTCACCATGTGGTCGTCTGCTTGAAACGTTCTCAAGGAAGCTTGCAAGGAGCACAAGTTCTTCAGAAAGTTGGTGTGTTACATCAGCAACCTTCTGTTCTCTCTTATTAGTGCGATGCTGAAGATCAGTGATGTCATCAAGAAACACTTGATCTCGTTTCGCATACTGTTTCTCCAACTTTTTATTTTCATGCCATCCCTGCTCTAACTTTCCTTTGAGGTGAATATAAAACAACAGCTATATATTTATACTGGCCTAAAATTGGTTGACCATACAAATTCTGGTACAGTATACTGTATGTTTGTGTTCCTACAGTTGTAGGTGATACAATTTTTAATATTTTTTTAAAGTTCAAAATACCTAAGCATTTTATTAGATTTATAACTTTTATAATTTTGTAGGTGATACAAATTTTAATCATTTTTAATTTCTAAATACCTAAACATTTTAATAGTTTTAACTTTTATATTGTTGTGGGTAATACAATTTTTAATAATTGTTGATGTTCTAAATACCTTAGGATTTTAATAGTTTTAACTTTTATAATGTTGTAGGTGATACAATTTTTAATGTTCTAAATACCCAAGTATTTTTAATAGCTTTAACTTTAAATGATTTTAAGACTTTATTGTGGTTTTAGCTATTTTAATTCTAATGTTAAACAATGGTCTGCTGCTATATTGTAATTTGTAATTTTTAATGTTCTAAATAATATATCTGAAGTGTTTTTAATTGTTTAAACCTTTTAAATCACTGTGATGATTTTTGGTTACCCCATTTATTTAAATAGCTGAGTGATTGGTATGGTACCTGTCTCTAACGGCAGGGCCTGGGTTCAAAACCAGGCTCTGCAGCCTAGTATTGAATTCGGGTCTTTTATAAATGCTAAGCTCCTTGAATAACATTTTAAGGAGTTGGCCAAGTTAAGGACCATCTAGCATCTGTGTATGTTGTAGCTAAAGTCGGGTGGCGCTGCACTGCGGCTGCCCAAATTTCCACAGTGTATTACATTTGAGGACAAAATAAAGAATATTATTATTATTCTTATTATATTATTATTGTTGAAAAGGGGTTTTGAGGGGGCGTTTATTCGAGGAGGTGTTTAATAGAGGGAGGCGTTACTAATTTTTTTGGTGTAAAATGGATATATTATACTCAAATAATGCCCCTTAATTTCACTGTAAATGTGGAACTAATACACATAATTACTGCCAAATATGTTATTGCATGATCATAATGACTAATTTATCTCAATTAGATTACAAAAATATAATTCTACTGGAGTACAACATTAATTATAATGTGTTGAGAATGATTTTACTTCCATTAGATTTTCTACAGTCATTTGGGGGATGGGAAGGGAAGGGGAACTTATTCAAGGAAAGTATAAACACCTCAGGGCATTTATGGGAGGAGTTTATTCCAATGAGGCTCTAGGGGATGGGGGGATTATGTGAGGGCATATTTATTCAAATCATGATGTTTATTCAAATAAATATGGTATTTATGTTGCAAAGTATCATATCATTCTGGAATAATTTTATTTTTGGTGTCAGGAATGGCCAAAAGAAATGAAATATTAAATTTAATAAGTTAAATTATATAATGACTTTATATAATTACTATCTATTATAAGAATGGCCTAAAAGATGTCTTGCCACAGTTTTAAAGACAAATTTGGCAATTAATGTGTGAAGTAAAATTCTGGAAATAAGATAAAGTCCAGGTTATTCGCAATTTAGGAAGTAAAAGTATCATAGGGAAAATACGGGCAAAAAGTGCACTGCCAGCGATTGGTACCGTAATAATAAATTAGTAATTATTATTATTATATTTATTATTATTATAGTATATTATTAATATTATCATTATTTAATCATTATAATTATTAGTATTAGTAGTGGTGGTGGTAGTAGATTTAGTATTAGTAATTGTGTTCCAACCAGTAAAGCTGTCCAGTATTAACATTTCTTTGACAAATAACTGTTCTAATACCCATATTTAGTCATGATGTGCCTATATATGGTCATGATGTGATGTCATCATAACTATGTTGAAGCATGTCACATGTTTTTGTAAAATAAAATTTGACAGTCTGGACAAGGATTTTGTAGTGGAAATAAATAAAAATAAATAAATATATAAATAAATAAATATATAAATAAACAAATATATAAATAAATAAATAAATAGAATATTTCTACGTGTAAAAGGGCAACATACTGTACCTCTTTGTGATACCACTTCAGTTTTCAAAGTTTCTCCAAGTGTGTCATTCAACGTAATTTGTTCCAGTAACTCATTTGTCTCTGCATCAAATTTATCTGAAGTCTAGGAAAAAATAAGTTAGATTTTGTTGGTTTAATTTCAATGAAATTTATGTCCAAATGTACTGTTTTTTTTAATTATTCTTTGCAAAATATTGTAATATCCAATCTTTCTTCTTGATTGCAATAAAGATTATTTGAAAGTTATTACATCAGTAGTCTCATCATCATCATCATTGCAATTATTATTATCATCACTTACCATTAATTTATCATGTTGCTAACATTATCTTATGTATGATAATATCATCTTTAAAAACATATATCAATTAACACCATTATTATCATGATTATCACCATGCCATCATTATCATTTTATGTCAAAATTAATAGCATCATTATAAACGTCGTCAAAATCATTGTCATCATCATCATCATCATCATCATCGTTATCATATCATCCATTGTTATATTACTAAAATTCATTCGCAATTATATCACTCATATTTATCATTAAATTACTATTTAATATTATTATCATTGTTAACAATATTTTTATCATCACTATTGTCATAGAATTGCTATCATCATTATCATTCATGGTAAATAAAATATCATCATTATCTATAGCATTTATTATTATTATTATCAATGTTATCATTATTATCTAATTTAACATCATCAACAACATTGTATCCTCATCATTATCATTATTATTTATATATGATAATGATGATGATACAATGCTGTATCATTTTATTATCATCATCATTATTATTACATATGATTTTAATATAGTTATCTTTATTATAATAATCATCGTTCCCATTTATTATCATCATCACCAAGATTAGATTATCACAATTTATTATGACCTTTATATTTATTATTGTAATTTCAGGTATCATTATCATCATCACCTCATCATCATTGTAATTACCACTTATTACCGTAATTGTTATCAATCACCATTGTCATCATTGTCATAAATAATCATTATCACTTAATGGGTGCGTTCGGGCGAGAACCGGAAAACCTTTACTAGTTTCTTACCGGTAAAAGTATCCGCGGGTGGTCTACCCGTTCGTGCACAACTTCAACACAACACCGCTTTCGAAAAACCATTAACCTCGGATGTACAACCTAGGGTCAATATGTAAATGCAAGTTTCTATCCCATAATCCCCTTTTATACCTCCTCGCTCGGCCCTCTAGCCTCTCTCTCTCTAAAAAAAAAAAAACCGCGCAATCCATTTCCCGATCGTAATTTATAATACAGTAATTAATAATAATACTTGACATATTTTCGACTGCCATTTCAAAATGGTGAATTTTTACCAACTAACGGCAGTTGTCACAACCATTTTTGGGCGTGGGTATACTATGAATAAACTTTCAAATAATTGTTTATAAAAACAGAAAATAACTACCACTGTCAAACAAATAAGCAGTAGCCCCATGATGATGATCGGTATGCAAGCGGACGCGAGTAATTAACAATCTGGATTCTAGGCTAGCCCTCCGTTGAAAATATTATTTTATCGAGCTTTTCAGTTTTGTTTTTGGAAAATAATTGTAAAAAGAATCGGGAGAATTAAAATGTAAACAAACTTTAGCTCTGGCGTGTGCCGAAACAATTAAAGAGCAATCAAAAAAGGATTAAATAGGATTAAATGCTCCCTGCTGCTAACGCATGCGCAAATAGGCCAGTTTTAATCCTCCAGAACACTGCAATTTGCAGCGGTGGGTTATCGGCCAATATCAGCAGGCGGTCCGCGATTAACACCCGTTCGGGCGAAAACTAGAAATTGCTGTTACCGCTTTTACTCCGTGTTCAACACCAAAAAAAAACTCGCCCGAACGCACCCAATATCAACGCCACCTGATCAGTATCATCATTATCTAAAAGTGGTTGGAGGAAAAATTGTGGCTCACTCAGAGGTTGGGTTGTCAAAACACATCGAAGTGCAAGTTGCTTGTGTTCTTATTGTGACATTTTTTCTATCTTATTTGTCTCTCTCTACTTAGGAGTATAAGTGGATACCTGGTACGATGATCCTTATCACCCTCATCATTACCATTACACTACGTCTTAATAATGAATGAATTGATGTCATCATTATAATCGTCTTCATAATCCTCATCTTCAAAATTAGACAACACAATAATATTACAAACCATTCTAAACTTGTCATTTTCTTCAATGACAGCCTTCAGCTTACGGCCAGCGTGGTATATCTTTGTCTCGATATCTTTCAATTCCTTTGCCTGTGTTTTCATATCTACCAGAGCTACATCCCGCTGCTTTATAATCGTTTGCCGAAGTTTTGCCTTAACAAAATAATAAACACAAAGCTTTAAAAGTATGCTATAAATCAAATTATTTAGATTTTAAGTGAATATAATGAAAAAATATTTTTCTTGCCAATAAAATAATATCATTCCTATATTCCTTGCATCAAAAATTTGATAATCAATTTAAGCATTTTGTAGTATAAAATCTATAGATCTGTCTTGTTGGAATTTGATAAAATACTTTCATTTTAATTAAGCAATTCATAGTTTTAGATAAATTTGGATGAGTTTTTATTCATTGAATTTGAGGAATGGAGGAATAGTCTTAAATTTCATGAACACAGGGAAAGGGCTAAGCTGTAGTTTAAGGTTCTATCTTATTAAGGAAACTGGAAGAATGGGTCTCAACAAAAACCTCCCCCTTCCCATACAGCTCTTTCCAAGCAAAATTAATTTACAAAGCAGAAAAATAATATTTTACTACAACACTAGTTGTTTTTAGGAATCACTTTTGATCAGTCAGTTGAGTCGAAAGTTGTCAAAGGCATTAAAAACAATGGATACATGAAAATGAAGTGCTTGTTATGTTAAGATTTTACCATAAAAAGTGTTTAATATTACTTTACATTTAAAGTGCAGGATAAAAACAAAACAAATGAGTAATAGAGAGTTAGATAAACTACCTATAATATTACTAAATGCAAAATAAAATAATTTTCAAACAATATCCACAAAAATATTATGAAAGTGTATTGTTTTAGTATAAATTCACATTATTGTAAAGGGTCATATTTATTCAATTAACAATACAGTATGTTAATAAAGGCTTCAAATATCCATCAAACATAAAACCAATTACAAAAGTGAACAAAAAAAAAAACAAGGAATTAATACATAAAAATATACATATGCTTAATACTAATTTTGTAAACAGAAATCAGAACAAATTGATATAAAAGATCATTTATTTCAATTATCCTAAACCATATTAAATTGTGAATTAAACAAATTTGTTTAACACTCATTTGAGTGGATATTACGCGCAAAATTAGAAACAATTAAAAATATTATTAATTACAAATGATATAAAATGTAAAATTATTAAAACAGACTGGCAATATTAAATTTTGTGAAAGTATTCAGAAAGAAATTATCCAATATTATTTAATGATAAATAGTTTTCTTAAGAAAAATGTATTTATCACAAGGATCATTCAAACACAAAACAATCCGATGAACTATGAAGCCTACAGAATGTACCGGTACTGTACTCTTTTTTTCCCATTCGGGCATGCTTTCCTTAAGATGCTTTATAAAAATTCAATAAATTATGACACAGGCATGTAGCCAGCAGTGGGGTTTCTGGGTATAAAGTTCAGAGGGCACAATGGGCTTAGCAGTGGCATAATATTTGAAATAGGGAGGTAGGGGACTGATGATAAGTGAGGGGGTCTAGGGAGGTAGGGGGCTGATAAGTGAGGGGGTGCTAGCTCGCAAAATAAGGTGATATGAGGTGATTTTTTATTGACTTAAGTGTGATTTTTTTTGCTTGGAACATTTTCAAAGGAGGAGGGGAAAGCTGGGAGAGTCTCCCCACCCTACTCTGTTCACCCCTAGATATGCCACTGGGCATAAGTGTTTACGTAAAACGTAAATATACACCATACAGTTTAAAAAAGATAAATATTAAAATTACCATACAAAGGACAATCTTTATGTGATGATGGAAAAGGTGATGCTCTTTTTTGTAAGTGTAGTCTGTTTAAATAGTGCGAGGGTTACTTGAGGAGCTGATCGATCTGATTTCAATTAAAACCCAATGCTGGTCGGGTTTGGACTGGGATCTACAGTGCAAGCAGCAAGAAGCTCGGCCAAATACTCAGTGCATAAAAAAAATCAAAAGATTTTGGTACAGGTATGGATAAACACCGTCATCGTAGTAATATTATGAAATTATAAATACTAATCAATGATTTTTAATTAATTAAAATTTGTAAAATAGGAAGGGATATTAATATATATAGTTTTACTATCATCATTATTACAAGATGAAGTATTGCATAAATCAAGTGATAAAACCTGGTATTTAATATTAACTTATATCTTATTGTTTTAACTAATATTTATAATCAATGTTAATAAAGACAATAATTAGTATTTATAAATTTAAATTAATGCTGTTAATGAACAGTGCGACTTTTACTGCAACACTAGATACAAGAAAGAAAATTGAAAAATGGAATCGGTTAAACCAATCAGTGAAAATAAAATCACTCAACATCAATAAAGCAAATTGTTTGTATAAACCTGAGGTGATGGGACATTCTCTCCACGCTCCTGAAATCAATACAATGACGTTTGATAAGAATGAAAGAAGAACGAACAAATATTCAATGAATGAGGAATAAGACAACTAAATGACTGTGCTAAGATACAATAATTATTCATCAAGTATGCAAACATCATAGATTTTTATTATTATAATAATAAATCTAATACTTTATCATCTAAATAATTTAAAAGTCAGGCTCAGCAGGGGAACTTTTCTTTTTGATATGTTGTACAACTGATTTTTCTAAGATATACTGTAGCTCTGTATAAACCATACAAAGTTAAAGGAGCCATTTCCTGCATGAAAAAGGGGGCGTGGTACCTAAATTTCAAAATATCATACTGTATTAAACTTAAAAACCGCTTGGAAATTGAAACTGAAATTTTGGATTCTTCATTTTGACATATCAAGGTATTTTTACAGTAGAATATTTTCAGGAAAATCCAAGGGAGTCACATGACCCTATATCTTTATCATATTAACTGTTCCAGAGTTTTTTTTGTCAAACATCCTATTTGAGTTTCAGAAAAATCAGTTGTACAAGTGTATTTTTCCCTCCAGAGCCTGAAAATAAATAAATGTCTAAATAACAATAATTTTAAATCTAACAGTAAATACAATTCACAAAAATTGTGTAAATAGTCAATACTGGAACAATTGTTAAGCACAAGATTAATCAACCTATTTAATATGTATTAATTGTACTAAACTTTACATTTTATTACTGTACATAATACTTACAATGGGCGCATTAAGTTTATGTATTTGTTGTTTCGTTTGACTGGTTGTGGTCTCCAATCCTTGCTTTTTATTCTTCAACTCTGTAAAGTAAAAAGGTCAACATATCAACCAATCAGTCAATAAACCAATTAGTTATTTACCTGTAAAAAAAAAACAAAAACATGTATTGTAGTCACCTATAGGAAGAATACTACGCTACAGGCGACTACTTTATTATTAGGCCTAAAAAATAATTGTTTGTATGTTGTCGCATTGTAAGTATTTAAGTGAAGGGGTGGGCAGAAAAAACCAAAATGGTCTGTATAGAGGTTTTTAGAAGATGAGGGTTAGGATAAAAAATGTTGTAGAAATATATGTACACTGTAGGTCTTCTTGCAATTTGGGGCTAATTTTTCTTTAATTGGAGTAAGACACGTGATTAAAATAAAGTACTGGACTATGTATAATGTCAAGCTCACCAGCTTCATTTACTTATTAAATGTGTTAAAAAAGGTACAAATCGCAACAACCGACATTGTATCACCTTGGTAGTAGTAGTAGTACCAACCCCAAGGAGAGAAAGGTTTAGAGTTAATCAAGCGTGAAACGGTTGTAGAGGGCGTGCTATGGAACCGGCGGTTGTGTAAAATCAAAATCGTGGGAAAAAAAAAAAAAAAAAAAATTTTTTTCTCCTTTTTTTTTTTTTTTAACTTTGAAAGAAAAAAAAAAAAAAAAAAAAATAACCTGCCCCTCATTTTTCAGATTTTAGGGGAGGCAGATGATGGCAAACAAATTAGTTTTCTTTTTAGGCCTTATTGCAAAAGTAGTATAGTATTATGAAATTTGTTGACATCATGGAGCATATAGATTTATAGTAAATTTTACCCTCCAAAAAACTACAAATAGATAGCTCCCAAGAGCAGACACTCCCATTTTCCAATATAATTACTCAGATTGTTTGGTCGAACAGTTGACAATAATTTTAAAATAGGCATCTTTAGTTTTAATATGCTGTACTTATATCAAACTGTAAAAACGCTATTACTTTGGGGGATTTTTCTGCAGGCCTGCAAAACACAGTGTGGCTTCAGTGCTTCAGCAGGGCCCTTAAACGGGCCACTGGACCCCACCCAGAGAATCCCCTAATTTTTAAACTCTGCCTATGAACCTACAAGGAAGGATTTTAACAGACAAAAACTGAAACACACAGCAGCTGAAGAAAAAAAACACTGAAAGATCTCCACAAACAATAGGTGAAAGTGATTCTAATAATCTCTACATAAAGTTTCATTTCTTTTCACAAAATCAAGATTTTAACACAAAAGTATTGTGCGTCGTGATATGAATGATACCATCATGTCTGCAGTAATTTGTTCAACTTTTGATCAATGGTTTTATAGTGAACATTGCAAGATGTAAATGTAAGTACACTCTTAGCTATATGCAGTGGCGGCTCTAGGATATATTTTCTGGGGGGGCTAAGTTGTCCGACAGGGGGAAGGGGCCGCAAGGGGGGGGGGGGAGGTTCCCCTCTCATAAATGAGATTTATGATATGATATGTGATATGAATGATACCATCATGTCTGCAGTAATTTGTTCAACTTTTGATCAATGGTTTTATAGTGAACATTGGAAGATGTAAATGTAGGTACACTCTTAGCTATATGCAGTGGCGGCTCTAGGATATATTTTCTGGGGGGGCTAAGTTGTCCGACAGGGGGAAGGGGCCGCAAGGGGGGAGGTTCCCCTCTCATAAATGAGATTCTTTTAAAGCCCCTTCTGTCCCCCTGCTGGCGCCGCCACTGGCTATATGTCACTATGAGAACATGGAAAATCTGTATGAGTATTGGCTGTTCATTTCTTACACATACTGGGGAATAGTTTCAAGTAGCCTTCACCTACAAGACACAGAGTTACACTTCATGAACATTAATTTATTTTATATTATATATTATTTGTTTACTTAGGTACACAGGGCAAGGATTGTCAATAGCAGAAGATGTTACAGCAAGTTTTACAGTATCCAGAATCAAATTGAAAACTACAAACAAAAGGAGAATTTTTATGAACTTTCTTGTGAACAAAACAACAAACATTTACAATGAAATTGCTAATAAATGTTTTACAGGCAAAAGAACTCACAGCGTCACTTGCAGTTGGAATTGCTATTTTAATCATCGCAACAATAGCTTGTGTACTTATATGCGCTAAATTTTCAACCAATATGTTCGTGGGAAGCCAATCCCGTCGTCAAAATGCGTGTACATGTGGTAGCCCAGAATCTATATCTGATATATGCCGGTATTGCACCAACAGACGAGCTTACAAGAAACCTAAGTGGAACACAATTAGTGATCGCCCACCAATGCCAACTCCAAAACCTGTTGCTCGACCCAATTGGATCAGTACTACGGAGCAAGAATATGACAATCCATTGGATTCCGATGCAATCAAAGATGGGTCATCATCGTGTCAGAATGAGAACCGAAGAACATCCAGACTGGCAAATGTCTTGCGTAGAAGCCATGATTTATTTCCAAGATACATTAATGGAAAACTTGTTAGAAAACATAAGCATAGGAATGTTTGTGTGCACACAGAAAATTCTGTACTTACAGTTGTGTGAAATGCATCCCATGCCAGAGACTACGAATAGAAGCATATTTTCCAGCACAAAACTCCCATGCTATAATTTAGTTAAGCGCCATCTGTATATTGTATGTAATTAAGTTAGCAACTGCAACCAAATTTTATATGTACCTTGTTATCTTGTTATACATTAAAACAATTTAAGTTATTTTGAGTGTTTAATATATTGTGTGGTTTACTTGCAAATCTTATGTTTAATAGTCTATCTGTCAGTGACATTTTCTACTTGAAGTTCTCCTCCTTTGGTGGTACTTTGACTACTGAATTCAGTTTCCCTTGACTGTCTTTGACCAGAGTATAGGAAGAATAGAGAGCATAGCCTTGTTCGTAAATATGTCACTCCCTAGTTACGCCAATGAAGTCGCCATAGTCTTCATGAAAAGTGCGCCAGGTATGCTCTAGTTTAGCAGTTAACCAGGATTTTGAAAAGGGGAGGGTTGTAGAAATATTACATCCACTAAAACTTTTTTATGCAAGGCGCAGAATTAGGCACTTTTTTTCTCTTTCGCAGGGTTAAACCCCATTTATTTTAATCTTCTTTTATTAATCATTCTTTTTTTTATTTTATCATATTTTACAATTAATACATCAACATACACATGTGTATACGCGCGTAAATGATTCAGATCGACACAAAAATATGCATGATACATACATTCACATATACAGGTCAACTTCCCTTTTTCTTCTTTAAGTAATTTGTTTACAAACTATTGCAATAACAACCCAGCAAATATTAGAGATGCAGCATATCAATGGCTATGACTACGCCATAAATTATTTACTTACTTTGCCATTTATTTCCATTAATTTAATAATACTTTTTTCATATTTGAACACACATGCTCAGTACAGGGAAGTATTAGATAATTTTTAAAAGCATAGTTGCATAAAAGGTGTATCATTCATTTACTGTAGGCCACAACGAGCTTACTGTGCTCTCTTCTTTTTCTATCTTTGCTTTGACTTCAAACAACAATAAATTATTCCCGACATATCGTAATCAGAAGATCAGATAAAATGTTATGATAATACATAAATGGTAATGTTTTTTATGTTTGGAATCCAATTTCATTCAACACAAATGAGATATATGAATACTATTTTCGATAACTGAGGGCGCCACTAAGAACATTCTCGTAGACATGCCGATTCTGCATTGTAAAATATGCAATTCAAACATTGGACAAGGAGTTTAAAAGATCTCTATCAAAAAGTTGGGAGTTTTTTACCCCTCTTATCCCTAACACATCCGACAGCAAATACTGCTGATTGACCTATTGCAAGATTGATGCTACAGTCTAACATAGTGTAAACATATGTAAATATGTGTGTTTGGGAAAACATGTGCTTTTGTGGGATAAGCGTTTTGATTGGTCAATTGATATTAACATTTTTGAAAAGAACATTACAGATTGGAACAACACTTTAAACATACAAATAAGACGCATTCAGACTGGAACATTAGGTGTACATGGCCCTTGGATTTTTTAGCAGTACAGTATGTAATTACAGTTATAGTTATAAAGAGCTTACTAACAAACATTAATCACAGCAGTTTTTTTTGCTCATGATACACATAATTGGCAAAAACCTGCTTAGTCGGTTTAAATGTGCTCTATTTACTAAGAGCCCTGTACACATGATGACAATACTTACACTTACACATATAACATACAAACAAGATGCATTCAGACTGGAACAATACTTAAACATACACACAAGATGCATTCACACTGGAACAATATTTAAACATACAAACAAGATGCTTTCAGAGTGAGACAACACTTAAACATACAAAAATGATGCTTTCAGACTGGAACAATAAACATACAAACAAGATGCTTTCAGACTGGAACAATAAACATACAAACAAGATACTTTCAGACGGGAACAATACTTAAAACATACAAACAAGATGCTTTCAGACTGGAACAATACTTAAAAACATACAAACAAGATGCTTTCAGACTGGAACAATGAACATTCAAACAAGACGCTTTCAGACTGGAGCAATAAACATACAAACAAGATGCTTTCAGACTGGAACAATAAACATACAAACAAGATGCTTTCAGACAGGAACAATAAACATACAAACAAGATACTTTCAGACTGGAACAATACTTAAAACATACAAACAAGATGCTTTCAGACTGGAACAATACTTAAAAACATACAAACAAGATGCATTCAGACTGGAACAATAAACATACAAACAAGACGCTTTCAAACTGGAACAATAAGCATACAAACAAGACGCTTTCAGACTGGAACAATAAACATACAAACAAGACGCTTTCAGACTGGAACAATAAACATACAAACAAGATGCTTTCTGATGGGAACATTAAACATACAAAAACAAGATGCTTTCAGACTGGAACAATAAACATACAAAAAAAAGATGCTTTAAAGTCTTATGATGAGGTGATGAGAAAAAATCCAGTACTTCACATGAATTGAACCCAGGACCCTGGGATTGGAAGATAAACATCTTATGCAAAGGCAATTGTCAGCTGACATAATTCAATGGAGAACAAAGTGCAATGATGTGTGCACAACAGATTATTTTTAATGACAATCCGTTGACTACAACTGACAATCAGCAGGCAGCGTCGCGTCATCCAACGCTCACATGCATTGAAGTTGGATTTGTCCGGCGAGGTCGTACGACCAAGTGAGTGCCCAGCTTTAAAAACCAACCTATAGTTCCACATCACATTACATTTCTTCCTAAAAATGTTGCACAAAATGTCACTTGGATGAGATACATCATGCATGAACTTCCAGAAGGAACAGAATTAAACCTAATCATGGAAATGTGTAACGTATGTAAGGTATAGAAAAATGATGATTTTCCTTTAAAGTGCGTAAATTTTGTCTAAAACAAATAAGTAAATTAATAAAATGGTAAAACAAGTAAATTTTTGGGGAAAAAAAAAATCAAATATTGAATTGAACTTTAAGAAAACTTTTCACATTATAGTAACAGTAGTTCTTTCAAATGTCAGAAAAATATGAATTAGAATCTTGATTTTATTTTCATTCAAAAGAGTCACTCACAGGATGGAAGTTGTGCTCTTTAGATGTTTGGTTTATAAAATGTTATAATTGTTTTTAATTTCATTATATAGGCCTATTTATTGTAAATGTAAATAGTAGAGAAGGAGGTAAATCTCATAGTGATTCTTTACCTTCCCAGGAACTGTATAATGCCTTGTCATGCGAGACTTGCCTATCCTTGCTAAACAAGGTATAAAAAAAGTCTTGCCATACCAAACTGTAAAGTATCGTTTGTTTAGTTTTCTGAATAAATAAATAAACTACTGTAAGTCTCAGTATGTCCAGGTTTAAGAAGTAGAGTCTAAAGAAAATGTGATTAGTGTATTACCCAATTCACAAGTACAAAAATCTTACCAAATGTAACAAAATATAACCAAAAGTAGCATTTTACGGCACGTGTGAAAGTACCTCCGTGTAATATCCTTGTAAAATCTCGGAAATCTTTACCAGCCTCAATGAGGCTGGTAAAGCTTCCGAGATGTAGCATGGATGGTTCTGCGCATGCGCAGGAATTTTAACAACAACAACAACCTACTGTGTTTCATGGGGTTCTTTGAATTTTCTTCCTTCTGCAGATGATTCCGATCCACTAGAAATAGATAGGCCTAGTTTTTCTCAATGATGGATGAATTACCCTTGTTATCAATGTTAAGGGCATTTATTGCTTCGAATGTTTACTGTGATGGTGAGTTCAACAGTCCTGTAACAGGGGTTCTCAACTAGGCCTAGGCTAGGCCTATATCGCAGTAGGGGCAAAAATGATTCATTGAATAAACACTGAATAAATTTTACACGACCTTGGCATTACCTTACAGGCACGTGTGAATGCTTTATAACTCGGGAGATGGCTCGGTTACAATTTGTTACTTTTTGTTAAATTTAACTTCACGTGTGAATCGGGTATTTGTTAATGTCAAAGAAATTGTTAAAAACCATATCAAAAAGTATTATGCAAGCATTTATGAAAGGTTCTTAATAATTCATCAGGTGCAGGAGATTAAATTTTGAGATGAAAGGGCCAAAGGTCAAGGTCATGAAAATCATTTATTTTGGGTTGTTTTATATCACTATTCAGAATACAGGTATGCACTTTATAGAGTGAGTGCTCTACTTTCAGTCTCGAAAAATTGCTTAAGCATGGAAGACTATAATAATATTGATAATAATTTCTAAACGCTCGCTGTGCAAGTCGCTTGTGTCCTTGGGCAAGGCACTTTATCTACGTTTGTCTCTCTCCATCCAGGAGTACAAGTGTGTACCTGGTAGGTTCAAACACAACCACGTGCTGATTACAGCTGCAACATTATGGGGTATGAGTGTTGTTCCATGTGCTTGATCCAGTGCCCGGGGGTAATAATGTAAAGTGCATAGAGGTTAGTCTATAAAGTGCGCTATATGTCAACAATTATTATTATTATGAATTAGTTATATTTACACTATTTTGTGTTAAATATCCAATTCCTCTTCATCTTATAACTGTTTGGATTTCTTCAAGTTTAAAAAAAATATAATTATAAATAATGGCACATCGATACTGTTTTACAGACGTTTTGTCAGCCAATTTACTCATGAACGAATATTTGTAGCCAAGTTAAATATCTATGCAAAAACACACATGTATATTTCTACCCAATGCAAAAAAAGAATATGATTTTTCTCAAATTTTTAAAACAACTAACTTATTAAGTACCTAATAAAGTACACTATTCATTTATTTTAAGAGAAACAAATTAGTAAAACGTAAAGGTTAACAAAAAAAAAACCAGTTTTTGTGATTATGCAAATCTAGAGTAATGTAAACTAGAAGTCAAACTGGTATCATTTTCATTTTTACGAACATAGTTTACGCACTTTTCTTTGAATATGAAAGTAAAAACATAAAAACATGTAAGACAACTTTAGTCTAAATAAGAAAATGAAACTAATGCAAAAACTGTACATTTGCTTTGATGCTGAAGTTTGATTAGGACATACTCTTAAGGTTCTACAATAGCACGTTTGACAGGTAATCAACCTTTTATTGTTTTCATAAGATTTTAAAATTTACATATTTTATACTGTCCGTATTGATGCGTATATAGGACGGGGCTTGTAGATCTTTTCAATAATTCATACGCTTTTTTTTTATTACAAGCTTGAGAGGATACAGATTATAGATACAGATAAGCTTTAATTCATCCTTTTTATCAGAAATTAATATAAAGTGATAGGTCATTTTGGGGACATTCAACATTATCAACATTTTCACAAGTCTAAAAACAGTACACTAGGGGGAGGGGGAAGACAAATCAGTATACTCTTACATACAGTATGCATAAAAATTTTGATTCAAAATAACATGCAATATGCAAAATAGTGTTAAAGATATAATGTAACTATGGATATAATATTCATTTTTAAGCAACCAAGTACATTGCTTTTTAGTTGACTTCACAAAAAAATGCAGAATGGTTTTGCAAAATCAACATTGTTAGTACACATTCAGAGGGAAGGGAGGGGGGTACCAAAAAAGAGTACTGTTTGTACTGTTTGTGTAATTGTGAAAGACCCCTTACTGGGATTGACTTACTATTGATGAAATTATGAGTAAAAGTATAATAATAACTAGATTTGAACTCGTCACTGAGGACGAGTTAGGTGATCCGCCGTACTTTGACCCTCACAAAGCACGCACGGTTCTGATTGAAAAGTATTATATGCTAAAACATGCTCTATTTAAAGAGTAATTTTGAGCATTTTAAAAGGAATTTTAAAGGAAAATAGTAATTTTGAGCATTTTAAGGACTTACGAATGTGTACACATACGTCTTAACGTCCGTGCGCACGGTAGTATTAATACAGTGTCAGAAACCCAACACATGTAACCGAAACGTAATTTCCAGCTTCAGTACGTGGGCGTGGAAATGAGCGTACGGCGCGTAAATTTTGGAAAGTTTTGGAATATTCAAAATGACCTGAAACGTGCTTTAAATTATCTGAAAAGTGATATTAACAATTTTAAAATTTTAACGCACAAGTACGAATACCTTATACGACGTGCCTGACGACCGTAATGGCACATGAATTTAAACCTTGCCAAGTTTAATTTAAAACCCCCTGTTGGTTGGTAATGCCACACGAACTATCGGTCTGATAGTGTCGAAATACAGTCTGCCGCCCTCTATTTTCAATGTGTTTACATCTTTTAAGAAAGAAAGATGAGAAGGCTCCAAAAAAAGCATTCTTTTTGACCAT